CTAACTGCCCCAAGGAGACAACCCATAAACAAAAGCTTTAAATTCTGTTAACAAGTCAATCAAGTTTCCTAAATCCTTGCAAGAATAAAGAGAGTGTGCCCTAATCAAAACTCCTGAAGTCCAAAGCCAAAAATCCTTCAATCAATTAAAATATCACTCTATACCCTCAAGAACTCTTCTACTTCTTTCTTTTCATATAATCCATAGGATAGCCAAAAGGATAAGGACAAGAATCTTGCTGTATATTTTATCCACTTGAATGTCCTTCTGAGCCTAAATCTCTTCTTTTACCAAACCGACCATCACCCAATTTACCCCTATAAAGCTATGAGCAAAGCACCACATCCGGTCGGAGACAGAACCAAAGAGAAGGTGGTTGACTGATTCTGAGGATCTATTGCATAAATAACATCTATTAACAATGATCTTTCCCTCTTGATCAAGTTATCGACAGTAAGAAAGCGTCCACACACCACCTCCCACGCAAAGAAAATAATTCTAGAAGAAGCTTTGACCCTTCAAGGTAGTTTCCAAGGAAAGTTTTCGTACTACCACTAGCTGTCCAATTAGAGTAATAGGACTTTACCGAGATCTTTCGTTCTGGCTCAGTTTCTACCACAGTTCATCCATATCACCCAATGGTCTTTCCCACTGGGAGAAGCACAGCAGTAAGTCAAGAATATTCTTCAACTTCCTATTCCCGAACAAATTAATAGCCCATGTTTCATTCTTCTCCAAGTTGGAAAAGAGCATGCCATTGTTGCTTCCCTATTATACCCCAAGGGAAAAATGGTAAGGAAGCTATGCCTGATTGTTTTGCCATATGTTATAACTCTGATGTTGATATAGCAATAACACTTCGCAATCCCGATCACCAATTTTTTGGGTAATTTAATAATGCAACAGGTATTTATGATGAATTGTCTATCATCAAAGTCACTGGGATAATCTCCATCTATATATTTCGTAGTAGAAACCATAGTGGTGGTGCAAAAACAAATACCATAATTAGATGCACATCTCAAATACCAAAAAAAAACCCATTTGATGGCTTTTCAATGTCCCTTTCCTCGGTTAACTATCAACTTGCTAACCACACTAACTACCTACACTAAGTCTGGCCTATTACACGCTATTCCATACAGCAAACATCCATCGGCATTACCATAAGGAATATTTGACATCAACTTCACATCTTTATTTGTTTGGGGAGACTATAAATTTGAAAACTTGAAATGATTCCAGAACATGATAGATTTGGCATTGTTCATATCTACCACACCTTCTCTTTGTCCCTTTCTTATAAGACCCAAAGCAGTTAAAAAAAAGCCAAGTCAAATGTGTACTCCATTATAAAAATTTACATAGTATTAACACTATTTTTCACCATACCTCATAAAAGTTCTGTACAGTGCCCTCTTGCTTCCTTTTTGAACCCAGAGTGGCTGGCGGCCTTAACCTGAGTATAATAACTAAAGAGAATCAAGCAGAAAGCCAGAGTATATTACCGAGAAAGTTTTAGTCACTAGAAGTTATGATGTTGACCTGTTATGAAGTTGACACAGAGATGTTCACAGAAAAGTTATCATAAAGCCTTAAAAGGAAACTTCACGCAAATCCATTGCGTATATAGTAATTGCTTACCAATGTACACAAATAGACACATGCATATAATATATATATATATATTGATACAAAAAGAAATATTATTGAGAAAATAGGGGCACAAGACAAAAATTACAGCAGATAAGTTATTCAGCTGATTTTAGGCTTAAAAGCGGTAGGCTTAGAATTTGGTATGGTATTTCAATTCAAAGTTTGATGAAGCATTTATTAGGTTTTATATTTGGATCGCAAGTGGTAATTTAGACTTTTTTCCTTTTTGATAGAAGAGTAGTTTGGACATATTTTTCAAGAAAAATATAAATTTTTCTTTTCTTATTATTCCTTACAGTCAAATAGAAAAACTAGACTAGATATGATCAAATTAAAAAGAACCAAAAAAATTATTGGAACTGCTAAGACAAATAACAAGAAGAATCTAAATTTCAAAACATAGAACAAACCTTCTCCCTCTTTATTCAAGAGTCCCCCAAAATTCTTCGCTTTAAATTCTTCTGTAATCTCAGCTCTCCAATTTGGGAACCATTTAGAGTCCTATTTCTTCTCCTAGACTCTCTCCACAAAATAAATAAAAACAAATTTCTCTCTTCAAACTTAAGTCCTGCTCTTACCCAAATCCTTGCCTTCTAAATTTGGTTCTTCAATCTCAATTCCTTTTCTGGAGACTCTCTACAGAACAATTAATAACAACCCTTTCGTTTCCATTTTGAAGTCCAACTCTTGCTCATATTCCACCCATTAAATCCAGTTCTCCAATCTCAACTTTCCAATTCAGAAACAAAGGGAATCCAAGACAATTTCTTAGTGAGATCCAAACTGAAATTTTTGGAATATAGGTTGAAGAGGGTAGGTGATCCTAATAGGATGCTAACACTAGCAATTGCAACAATAATCTCACGACATGAGAGAAAAATAAATTTAAAAAAATGATATCACCCAACAAAAATAGAAGCAAACAAAATGAGAAAACTTTCTGACATGGAACTCTTTGAGGCATTTTCAGTCTTGTAACTGAGACAGAAGCAATCGAACTTCTCTTTTATGGCAGTTGATACTTTATGTAATGATATTATAAGGCCTAAAAATTTCCTTTTCCATATTCATTTTCTTGAAATACTACCTCTCTTATTTTAATTTATACAAAATAATAGCATGATAGCATGGGCTTAGAAGCAATGTTACATACTCAAATCACAATCTGACTATCTGAAAGATCAAGCTATCTTGTTGGCCTAAGTTCCTGATCTTAGTGGATTTACCCACCCACACACAAGAAGGGGGAAAGGGAAAAAAATGATATTAGTTGGTAATTTTGTGAAAGATTCCTGTGAAAATGTTTTCTTTTTTAAATAAAAAAATGTAGTATTATAAACAAATGAACCAAGGGAGTACCGCCATGTACAGAAAACTTTACAAGTTAGTTATAAGATCAATGACATCAATAACAAGCTGGTTATGGTTTATTTTTCTTGGGCAGTTGGCAGAGGGAACAAATGCAAATTCTGGACTGATAAATGGTGTGGCGCTTCAAACTTCCAACATCAATTTCCTCTCATTTATACCATCGCCAAAGACAAGAAAATGTTGGTCAAAAATGCTTTTGACAGGGAAAATGGAGGTGCCTGGAATATAGTGATTTCTAGAAATCTGAAAGATTGGGAAATCACTGAATATGAAAGCTTATTAACTCTCTTATCCACAATCAAACTCCCCAATACTGAAGACAAGCTCCTTTGGAATATTTACAGCAAGGGCATTTTCTCGGTAAAAGCTTTCTACCATCACTTGACTCAACAAAACAGATTTAGAAGCCTGGATTTCCCCACTAAATTGATATGGAACAGTATGGCCCCTCCGCGGGTCTCTTTTTTCACATGGGAAGCTGCCAAGGAAAGGATTCTCACTCTGGATAACCTCATGAAAAAAGGTA